GTTGGCACACCCCTGGATGGTCCAGGCGGCAAGGGGGGGGGTGTTCATGTGTGAACCCCTTCCCTGTGACACTTCCCTTTGGTGGCAGGTTATCATTTCAACCTTTGCTTTGACCAATCCAGCATTCATCTTCATCCAGAAGTCCCCAGTTCCCCTAACATACGGGCTCCTCTTGACCCCCAGATCCCACGGAAGAGCCGCCCCCCCAGCCCATCAACATCATCGGCTCCATCGTCGGCGTCATCCTCGTGCTCTTCGTGGTGGGGGCCGTCTACTTCGTGTGCCAGCGCGTTCTCTGCCCGCACATGAAGGACGACGGGGCCACCATGGCCAACGACTTCGTGGTGCACGGGCCCTCCTCGGTCCCTCTGGGTTACGTCCCACACCCAAACTCCCTCTCGGGGTCCCTGCCAGGTACCGTCCCGAAAAAGCCCTGAGGGATTCTTCCCTGGGATCTGCGGTTCTGTGTTTTTATGCCACCCCTCAAAATGGCCCGCCTGGTTCTCCACAGCAGTTTTAAAAGCCAGAGGACTTGCTTAGCCCCATTGCTCATCTTTTACAGTGCGGTTCAAGGACGAACCAGAGCCAAGTGCGAGTCAGTGGGGCGGGGTGGAGGGAGATTACATCCAGTCACATCCCAAATCATCGGGAAAGGGGGTAGAAGTGCCATTAGCTGGGTGCTACAGATGGTTCCTCACCGGTGTTCCCTTTCTAGGCATGTCCCGTGGAAAGTCTGCCATGAGCTCGCTAAGCATCATGGGAGGTGGCAGCAGTGGGCCGCCGTACGACAGGGCCCACGTCACAGGGGCCTCATCCAGCAGCTCCTCCAGCACTAAAGGCACTTATTTCCCACCGGTGAGACACTACAACACAAACCCCTCACAGTCGCCCCCTACAGGTGCAAATGTGCACAGTACCAGCTAGACGCAGCAAAGGATTCTTTGTTTTGTTTCATGGTACTGTTGATAAAATCAGACATAGCAGCAGTGTATGTTTAGTTTATCTTTGCTGAGAAGCATCATCTGGGAGTTTGAACCGTGCTTTTAATGCTTCGAATTGTTCGTTAATGTTCGTTGTGTTCATAAGCATTGGGTAGAAAGTTTTGCTGTTTACAATGTAACCACAGAGTTGAGTCTGAAACTGGGCTTTTAAACAAAACCATTTTGTGAGAATGTGAAATAGTAAGCAGGTAAAGGCAGCATCTAGCATTTGTTTGATGTACCGTTCAGCTCCATCTTGACATAAGCATTACGCAATCATCCTGCCCCCTCTCGTCCCCCTCCCAGATCCTGAACCCCCCACCCTCACCCGCCACAGAACGCTCCCATTACACCATGGAGTTTGGCTACTCCTCAAACAGCCCCTCTACCCACCGCTCGTACAGGTAAGGCCGATCTCCTCCTGCTGCTTGTGTCTGTATGCGTGTGGGTTTTTTTTAGTTTCGCTAACGCAAAGTGACTCGCACAGCTGGGTACTGCCATATCACTACAGTGTCTGGCGCTCAGACCCCCAGACCTTGGCTCTCATCCTCCTAAGGAGATGAAAAGCAGACTTTAAAAGGTCTACGAGCTTCTAACACAGTTTGTGTGTCTGTGAATAGTGGCAGTGTCAGATTTATTGTCCCGCGTGATTCTGAAGGGTAGGCAAACGGCCCTGTAATCCCAGGCCTCTTGGGGCGTGGCTTGCCGGCCTTCCCTCCACGTTTAACGATGTGTCGTCCCCACAGCTATAGGCCCTACAGCTACCGACATTTTGCCCCGCCCACCACGCCCTGCAGCACGGACGTGTGTGACAGCGACTACACCCCAGGGCGCCGCGTCGTCCCCGTGGCCAAGGGCTACACCAGCGACCTCAACTACGACTCGGAGCCCTTCCCGCCACCGCCCACTCCCCGCAGCCAGTACCTGTCCGCTGAGGAGAACTGCGAAAGCTGTCCCCCCTCCCCTTACACGGAGCGCAGCTACTCCCACCACCTGTACCCCCCACCTCCTTCCCCCTGCACGGACTCCTCTTGAGCTCCACCCAGTGCCCCGCCCACTTCCCTTGGGCCCGCCCTCTGTGTAAATAGCAATTGTGTATACTGAGTTGAAAGGACTTATGATCAAGGGGGGGAGGGCATGGGAATTTTGTACAGTGTCCTGGGTATAAGGGGCTTGGGGTACAGTGGAGCTGGAAAACTTTGTACAGTAAAGAGAAATATTTATATATTTTCTATACACCAACTACTGGTTGTGCCATTGAAGTTTGTATTGAAAAGAGAAATCTGTACATTTTAAAGTTTTTATTAAATCACCATAAATTAAATGAATTGCCTTAAACCGGGAGATAAAACGCCACCTTCCCATTAAACTAGAGGAAATAAAGCATTCGGAAAGGGATATGGTGATACTCAACTGATGCCAAATATTTTTTTGGGTTGGGGTGGGGTGTGTGGGGGTCCGATCGGGTGTTTTTGTAGCCCGACCGCGTAGCCAGCCAGCCAGCCAGCCAGCAGCCCCATCGTGGGCGAGCGCCGAAATCGTCCGTTGCTGCTGCTTTTTGCACGACGATACAGACGCAGGAAGGAAAAAAAAGACAAGGACTTAAGCATTATACCTCTCTTTGCTTTGGAATTATTTTTAAGTGATATGTTCTGCAAGGCTTGATTCCTCCGACTGGAATACTAAGAGGAGATTCCGCGAGCTGCTCCGGTGAGCTTTGCGGGAGAAGGTGAGCCGCAGAAGCAATAAGGTCCGCTGGCTCCCCACCGCGCCGCCGCTCGGGCGCGCTCCCGGACCCGCTCCCTCGAGGCCTCTTTACACCGATGTCTTACAACTGAAACCCTCGTTGTCTGGGAGAACTTTGCCCGTATTTGCGATTTGGTGTCGAGTGTCGGGACACCTGGGCTCGTGGAACAAGGTGGTACGTATGACGGCGGCTGCTCCCTCCCGCAGCCGCTCCAAGAGGGAACGCCTCCCGCAGGACATCACCGACCCCGCGGCCGATCCGGAGATCAAAGATGAACTCCACACATTACGAAGCAATTTTATTTTTGTGTGTTTCTTCGCCTCCACCGTTTGTATATGCCATAGAGCTGCTGTGAACTGGTCTGTTTGAAATAGCCGGTCTCTTACAGCCCCTGCGTTTTTCCTCCACTCTCCCAGCGCAGAATTTTTTTTTTGTTGCCCGAACAAGGACAAGTTTTCGTGCCTGACGAGTTTTACGGAAAACATTTGTCTTAACTTTAAATCCAGTGCCCACAAAATGTTTTCGATATTTTTGTACAACGTGTAGATATATTTATAAGCTATAAGAAATGTATGGTTAGTTTTCTGTAAATCTATCCCATTTTATCCTTGCGGTACTTCTCCTTGTACATTCTTACAGTCTACGAAACCTCGTTTTATTTTTCTATTGCAAATGTATGGAGACAATCTGAGACTGACATATTTATCCAGGTACCTGTTTTTACCTTGCGAAATAACTCACCTCCTTGAGCAATATTTTTGTACATCATTCATTTGATCATTTACTTTCAGTTTGACTCGAGAGCCAAATAATTTTTACAAAGACGTGTTTATGACCGATCACCCTCTGCCCCCCAAAAATGTGTCTCGTATCTAAATCTGTAAGCTTGGTTGGGGTTGCCAAAAAATGGGAATGTAGCCTTTGACATGCATTCATTCCATTTAATTCCTGCATTTCAGCGTTCACAGGTCTCTTTCAGGGAATAGTCTTTGTCCAATTTGAGTACTAGAGATGGGCAGTCCACATGCTTTCGCTTCATGTAGCGCTGTCTTTGTTTACAGCAACCGAACTTTCCTGTTAGCTTTCCATAGTCACATTTTCCAAAAACTTTACTTTTTTTCTCCTGTGTGATTTATTTCAAACTGACAATTGAATGCATGCACCATGGATTTGGCGACCTGCTTATTGGCGACTATCTGTGCGTAATACTGACGAACAGGAGTGCTGGATTCTGTGGCTTATGTTCTTAATTTTTCTGGTCGGTAGTTTTTTGTCCTGAAAAGTACGTTTCAAAATACTGCTTGTTATATGGAGGCATTTGGACACAAGTTCTGTCTGCTATATAGTCGCAAAGGGCTTTACTGGGAAACGGTGCATCGCAGTCATCTCATTTTCTTGCAGGCAAGTGACAGTTCAGTGAATCATTCAAATGTTTATTCCATAGCTTTTTGCCTAAGGATCTGTCTTTACCAGCATAACGTTCTAGACAATCTGAGCTACCCTTGGTAAACTTTGTTTTTTTTGCAGATGTGCCTCGCCATAACATTTCACCTAGATTTTATCTGATTTTGACAGAGTTTAATCGGTACATTGAACCACCTTTTCCAAATTTAGAAATGTCACATCTTAAGCATGTTACTGAAATTGTATTTTATTAAATCCTCCCCACCCAAAATTTTTACATGCGTAAGTAAATGAGTGCTTTCCCCATTTTGATTTAATAAGTCCTTCTGGTTGTTTGAATTAGACCCCTGTATAAGTTAGTCCTTTGAACTATTTTTGGGGCATATCATAAATGTATTGGCTCCATGTGATTATGAGAGAGACCACGTCTCACAGGGTCGGTCCTGCTCAGCAGATCTCCAGATGATCGACATTATTCCGGACATTCCTTTGTCTGCTACAAGGGCTTCAGCGTAACCCCACATGCCACAGCGCTAAACCAGCGTTACTATCTCATGCTTGTTGCACTTTACGGTACATCTGCTTCTTGTTGGTATGGCGTGTTATACGGTTTTGTTTGCTAGTATTTTTCAAGATTTTTTTCCCCCAAATGAGCTCCTTGCGTTTATGCTACGGTGTTCATATTACTGTGTATTATGTAGGTGTTTTTAATCTATGTATTTCATAAAAAAAGATGAATGTTGGCTATTTTGACACTGGCATTTTGCTTACAGCCGCTTCGATTTCAAAATTTAAGATGAGATGAGCCTCGGTTCTATGAATTTAACTACAGTGTAGCGCCGTCGACTTGTGGGAGTGTGAGCATGTGGTAACCAAAAGGAAAATAGTTTATGAATGCTAACATGCAACAGGAATTATACACAAACCCGAATTAGGTCGTGTTTATTTGCATCTCACTTATCTGCTGGTACCTAAAATTTGGTGGTCAATTATTGTTGGGTACACCTAGTACCCAGACAAATGGTATCAGTCTATAATATTTTTTTTTCTTGTCCTTCTGAAGGAAGCTTACTGAAAATACAATTGTACTTCTGTGCCTCAAACTCTGTAAGCAAGGGGATTTGGTAAAAGCACTTTTGGTTCCATGCTGCTGGAGATGTCAAATTTCGAATAATAGCATAAATGTTGGGAGAAGGTCTTTGGTCAGCTTAAATTGGTCTCATCTCATTGAATTGAATGGTGCTTTTGCAAGGGTGTGTTCAAGATGACCAACATTTGGTTAGTTATATCATTTTCCACTAACTCTACCTTTTTTTGTAAATTAATTGCTTTACATGTAAATCAATGTATAAAAAAATCTGTACAGCCCATTCAATAACTATTATAAGCTGTTGTAACTAATAAAATGTTGATTTTTATAATAAATGAATGCTGTTCATGATTAATCAGTTTGAAGTACAATCAAGAGGTTTGCAGCATTAAAATTTTAAAATGTCTAATGTCCTTTCTCGTTCAACTGATCCCAGTTATATATTAACGCTGCCCGCTGTTAGTTTCTCAGAAGTGCACATTGCAGTCTTCTGCTAAGCGATTCCGGGTATTGAATCTATGGTACTGAGCTCCTCAGTACCATGTAGAGGTGGCGGCTAGCAAGCATAGATAAGGCGCACCCTGCACTATACGCAAAAAGCGTTCTTTTGTGCAAAAGTGTGGATTCGTATAGAACTTAAAGCCGATTTACGGTGGATATATTGGCGGAGAGCTGCTCGCATACAGTCTCCCCCCGCCGTTTTTCGCAAACACTTTTGTTGTAGCCATTCAGTGATGCACTTCCGGTTCTCTAACCCGGAAGTTGACACTTCCGTTGACGTTTCCGCTGCATGTGTTTTGGTTAGTAAAGTGTTTGTCCAGCTGTTAGTATCGTTCACCGTATTCCCTGATCATGCAATACGGGATTAATGAAGACGCTGCTTAACAGCTAAGGAAAAACGAATTTGGTTGTAACTCTAGAGCCAATGCCACTAGTGCAACATAGTTGAAAAGCAATTTAAGGTGGAGTAAGGGCTGTCGGCTTCGTCTAGATGGCGGCTGGTAATTAACTGCATCAAGTGTATCGGTAAAATTCCATTGTCAAGAGTCGGAGAAGAGGAAATTCTGAGGTAGGGTTCTGTAGTTCTGTCTCTGTCAGACAACTTTATTTCGTAACGTTTAAATAGTCATGCTTTTTAATGTCATTGATATGGCGATGATTGTAAGCTACGACGTTGCTTAAGGTAACTGAAATCAGGAGTGTTTCCATTAAATTTTTAGCTGTGAACCAGCCGATATTACTTATTTTCTGAAAGTTTGTGCCCTAGTGTGTCGTACTCATATACTCTATTGATACGTAATTTGTCTGGTTTTAGGAAGATTGCCTACAGTCCGCCGTCCTAAATGGGAGCAGAGCAGAGTGGAGATGCGGAGCACAAACACTCCGATTTCAACCCTACAGGTAGCACAAAGCGTCTGATCACTAATTGTTGCTGGCTCGATTTATGCTGGGAGAGTTTACACTGGTAAGTAACGGACTTCTCTGAATTGTCAGCGGTCGCCTCGCCTGCGAAGCAGAGGGCAAAAATGGATGACATCGTGGTGGTGGCCCAAGGAACGCAGTCATTACGCAACATCCACAACGACCCCGATGTCATTAAACTACAAGAAATTCCCACGTTCCAGCCCCTGCTTAAAGGTACCCACAAGCAAACACGTGCATACATACTTAAACTTCACATTCCTTAACAAAGTCTTGTAAAGTCTGCTGTTTACTTTCCCAGTGGACGCCATTTGATTGTGTACTGCAGAGGTGGAGATTTCAGGTCCAGAGAGTACAAATCCAGACCAAGATTTTGTTTCAACCAACCAGTTGCGTACTCTGTGACTGTGACTCTTTATACTCATCTGGTTGGTTGAAACAAAATCTTGGCCTGGGTTTGTACTCTCTGGACCTGAAATGCCCACCTCTGGTGTACTATAAGATAAGGAAAGTTTCTTCTGCATAGCAGCAAAAGCTATAAAATAATCTGTAAAGATTGCTTAATACTGTTGCTACATTTTGAATGTGCATTTATTTTTGATATTGTGTGCCTGACCTTTATAAAACCTGAATCAATACATACAGTTCTAAATATGCGGTACTTTGATGCGTGAGCTGTAACTCGTGTCATTTCCATGTGAAATTGCAACCAGAAGAGGGCGTTGTTACTGCAGAAATTAAAATGAAATTGCACAACCAAGGCCCTGAACATTAATTGTCCACTGATATCTGTATGTTTTGTAACACCATATCTTCAATACACAGAATTATTCTCCACTTAAGACAGACTCATTATTCAGCTTAAACTTAAAAATTAGCTGTCAATTTCAATTGCATATGCATAAATGTCCACACTGCTATGTTTTCATAGGAAAATGATATGCACCCACACAGGCATTTTCACATTGTTTATGAGAGTATTTCCATACACACTCAAAGGAGTGAAAACGTATGTGATGTAGCTGTTAGCCTTCATTAGGCATTCATGCATCGTCACAGTCACCGGTAAGTTAGTTTCTGTTGCACTGTGAAAGATGCTATTTAGTTGCATACAGGTCAGCAACAGGGAAAGCGCCACTGAAAGCACGAATGCTGTTCAAGCCCTGAACATTAGTTGTCCTCTGATATCTGTTTGCCTGGTTGTTCACCCTACACAATGTTACACCCTGTATCTAGTGGAACCCAATCAGGCATGGGCCACATGATGAGTAAGGACCAATCAGGGTGGTTTTACAGTCTTTTCAGAAGTCTTCGTTTTCATTAAGCCACACTGCAACTATCAAATGTGACTGTGCTCCCGAGTGTATGACTGAGAGGTGGCCTGCGACTTTGCTCCTGCTTGTATGAGTGAGAGATGGCCTATACCTGTGCTCTCGTGTGTATGTGAAAGACTGCCTGTGCTGCTGTGTGTATGAGCGAGAGACTGCCTGTGCTCCTGTGTGTATGAGCGAGAGATGGCCTGTGCCTGTGCTCCCGCGTGTATGAGCGAGAGACGGCCTGTGGCTGTGCTCCCACGTGTTTGAGCGAGAGACGGCCTGTGGCTGTGCTCCCGCGTTTATGAGCGAGAGACGGCCTGTGGCTGTGCTCCCGCGTGTTTGAGCGAGAGACGGCCTGTGGCTGTGCTCCCGCGTGTATGAGCGAGAGACGGCCTGTGGCTGTGCTCCCGTGTGTATGAGCGAGAGACGGCCTGTGCTCCCGCGTGTATGAGCGAGAGACGGCCTGTGGCTGTGCTCCCGCGTGTATGAGCGAGAGACGGCCTGTGCTCCCGCGTGTATGAGCGAGAGACGGCCTGTGGCTGCTGCAGCACACGTGACCAGTAGTTGTACATCCCTCTCCTCTTCCAGGTGTCCTGAGCGGCCAGACATCCCCCAGCAGTGGCCGCCTGGAGAAGCTGGACTCCCTGCAGGTGCTGCAGCTGTGCCTGCGCTATCAGGAGCACTTGCACCAGTGCGCCGAGGCCGTCAGCTTCGACCAGAACGCCCTGGTCAAGCGCATCAAAGAGGTAGAGGGTGGCTGCCTATCCACATGCACCCGAAACCCGGTGGTATCAGAAACTCTGCAGCTGCTCTTAAGTGATGTCAGGATGCCCGCAAATGAAAAGAGGCAGGTTTGATTAATGAGGGAGGCGGGAATGGTGCCGATCATCCTACAGTGGTGGTCAAGGTTTAATGTGGAAGTAACGCGGCGTCTGCACCCCAGGGGTGTTGTGGCAGGTTGGTTCGATGACTGAACCCTCATTTCACAGTGACGTGTCGTTTAGCCGACACCCCCGGGGCTGTGGGCGGAGCCGAGCACAGGGTGTGTTAAAGAGCCAAGGTGCCAACAAGCAGCTGGACGATTGTGCTGGTCTTCACCTCTAGCCAGCTGGCACTGCGTGGTAAAGGGGGGCACTTATGGGTTAGATCAGCTACTGAGTGGTACCAGTTAAACAAAAACAGAGCAAGATATATTTATTTTTTAGGGAAAAAACTGCTGATAGCTACGCTTGAGATGAAATAAGCGTTGCTTTTAATCACGCTTAATGTGATTATGTTGGCACACTATTACATTTGTGCAAGCTGTGTGAAGTGTGTCTATGAGGCTGCCTCCCCCCAATAGGTCCTTGGAGAGAGGATTTTGGCAGGACAGCCTGATCTCAAGATGCGTGAATGACAGAGGATATTAATAAATCTGTTAACAATGCAGGATGGGTTTTTATGGAGATCTTAGCTGAACATTCTTAGACAGTGAATCTGAAACACAGACAGAAAGTTGCATGGGTGGATGTGGGTGGGGGGGTAGATGTACTTTACTGATCTTGATATACACAGCTCTGGAAAGAAAATAAGAAACCACTTCATATTTTTGATATCCTGGTTTAATCCTGGTTCTGCTGGCTGAAGGCTACGCTGAGAGGCTGGCTGCTTACAGGCTCAAAGTTTCTAAGACAGCCGTACACAAGAAGAAGGTGAAGCGGGAGACACTGGCAATAGCCAGAAACCAGCCAGGAAGAGGGTGGAAACGACCGTCAACTTATCCAGCAGTGCCTCATGAATCTGAGGATGACATCAAGTGACCTTCAAAAAGAATGGGAAACATTAACTGCAGGTGTGAAGTGCACTGCTAGGACAGTTTGTATCAGGCTCCTAGAAGCAGGACTGAAGACCCATAAAGCACGGAAGAAGCTCTTCATCAATGAGAAGCAGGGAAGAGCCAGGCTGCAGTTGTTATGTTTGTTTAACACAGACACAGCCCCATAAATTGAGACATGAAACTAAAAATTTTGCTGTGTTCTCATGTTTTTTTCCAGAGCTGTATATATAGTGTCATGCTTGAGGATAGTCCAGATCTACACATACCGGTCATAAACACGTCAGTGGGTGCCAGAGGCAAGGAGCAGATATATGTATCGAAAAGCTGGAGTTTCATGTTTGATGCCTTCAGGTGCTCAGTTTCCAGGTCTTCCTTTGCACTGGAATGGGTGTAAATGTCATCATATGCACATCAGTGTAATTAAGGAGTTAGTCACACACATCATTGTTATTAATGACGGGTTATTGGCTGTAGGTATCGGCCACAGCTTATGACCGTCACGTCAGTAATGGGCGTGTCTCTCTGTGGGCGGGTCAGATGGACCTCTCGGTGGAGACGCTCTTCAGCATCATGCAGGAGCGACAGAAGCGCTACGCCAAGTACGCAGAGCAGATCCAGAAGGTCAACGAGATGTCCATGATCCTGCGACGCATCCAGATGGGCATCGACCAGACGCTGCCTCTCATGGAGAAGCTCAATAACCTGCTACCAGAGGGCGAGCGGCTGGAACCCTTTAGCATGAAACCCGAGAGTGAAACCAAGTAGCCACTCCCACCAGCATTACATCATCTGAAGCTCCACCCACATGTGAACTGTTGCCCCGCCCTTTTTCGTAAGCCCATCTGTAAGGGATTCCCAAAAAAAAAACAAAAAACTTGTGGAAAAGTGTTATCTTTGTGGGTGTCCGTGGTTCTGCTACACCTTGTGGAGGTATGTAAAGAAACCTGAGCAGTGGGAATCTCAGAATTAGTTTCCTGCTGCACATACTCCTTAAAACTTGCCGAGTGGGAGGAGAGGAAGTGACTGGTGCTATTTATGGATATAGAAGCTGGGATGCTCAGGATCGTTAGCCAATATGGTCAGCCGATAAATCGCTGAACTCTGCCGTATGCATACTCGCTTGCTTCAGTGCTTCACTCGTCAGATGGAGAGTGGAAACACACATGACATTTTAAAGTTTACTGTGATGTAATATTGCACAAAACCTTGCATCCAAATCTATAATTTAAAAAGAATTATTGAGTCTCACTTTTTACTTTTTTTTCTGTAAAATGTTAAATTAAACCATTCAAATGTTTATCTTTCTTGTAACTAATTATAACATATTGTGAAATGTAAAGTGTGTTTGTTTTAGGCCCAGATATTGTTTCATGCCAGATATTTGCATTTCGTAATACATATTTATGTCATCCCAATAACATAAACTCCTTAAATGTGGAAAAAGGCACTCACTCTCAACACAGAATTTCATACGCCTTTTGATACAGCTTAGGATGTGGCTAATTGCAGTGTGTACATGCTTTACAGAACTCTGCTCATTGTATGCAGCAGAGAATCAACATGGTTTCATCTATAGCCAGTCGCTAGAGTTGAGAGTTTTGCGAACGTCCACGAAACAAGCGATGGCATCTTGTGTCTGTACGCCCAGGCATGAAAAATGGCATTGGATGCCGAAGTTAAAAGCCATAGTTAAATCATAATAGTATAAACGCAAAGAGTTAATGAAGCATTAATAAAGCGTTAATGAAGCATTAATAAAGCGTTAATGAAGCATTAATAAAGCGTTAATGAAGCATTAATAAAGCGTTAATGAAGCATTAATAGCATTATGAAGCACTTCAGCTCTTGATCACATCCGTAAGCTGACGTTACCTCTGGCTCCTAGTAGAGGGTTGGATGCTCTTTGGATCTACAGCAGCAGTGTCACCGGCATGCGGGGGTAGATTGGACCCCACCGGCACTGTGCTGCCCTGCCATGCCCCCAGCTGAAGGCCCCACCATCCCCCCTCCCAGTCTCCCACCTTGGCCAGGTCCCCAGTGATGCAGAGCGACCCCACCATGTGGATGTTGTTCTGCCGGCGCTCGGCAACAGAGCCTCGCAGAGGAAAGTGTTCAGGAAGGATTTTTGCTCCGTTTGGTGGTCCTGCCGCAATCTGCAGAGACCCGGCGAGCACAGAGGTGGAGCCGCTGGTCCAGATGGAGCCTTTGATGCGGCTCGATGGGCTTCCTGTCTTGGCCACGTGGAGTCGGCATGACCCGGGAACTTGCAGCTTCCCGTTACTTATGCTTGGAATAGCTGAAGAAATGGGTTGAGCGGGGTCCACTCCACCTCACTGAATGATTTTACAAATCATAAACTCTGTGGTTGCTGGATCGAGCCCAGCTTTGGCAGAACAGTCACATGTCTGTGGGCCCTTGAGCTGGGCCCTTAACCCCCAGCTCCTTGGGCCCTTCTGCAGGTGGCTGCCCTTCACTGCCAGGCTTGTGTGTGTCATGGAGAGCAAGATGGGGTAAGAGAAAGGGGAATTTCCTCATGGGAATCAATAAAGTGTCTTACTATTATTATTATTATTATTAATAAATGGAACCAATATTTAATGAGTAATTAAAGCCTGTGTAATTAGCAAAGACTAATACATAACATAAATCATTGCTGTGATAGTTACAGGAAGCTATATAATTTTTTTGTTCCTTCAGTTTAATTTTAAACATTTTTACATACAACGATCAGCCACAACATTAAAACCACCTGCCTAAAATTGTGTAGGACCCCCTCGTGCCACCAAAACAGCAAAGACCATCGAAGCACAGACTCCACAAGACCTCTGAAGGCGTCCTGTGGTATTTTTGCACCATAACATTGGCAGCAGATCCTTTAAGTCCTGTGAGTTGCACTTGCCTAATATATAATGGCACCCTTGACAGATGCCATTATAACGAGATAATCAATGTTGTTCACATCATCTGCCAGTGGGTTTAATGTTATGGCTGATCAGTGTGAAGGGGATAATGCACACTTCATGTTACATTCAGCTCACTCCATTTTGACGGCTTTAAGGAGAATGTCTGATGTTCTGCCTCAGACTTTCAATCCTAGCCACGCAACTATCAATCCTGCAGTGTCAGTGAGAATTTTCTGGCAGCCCTCTTTAATAAATCATTTGTAGGATGACAGTGCCTGTACGCTTTCAAAAATATATCTGAATAGGCCGCACCTTAGCCTCAGCTGTCATTCAGCACCGTATAGCTTTTCGTGAAAAAACAAAGTGCTTATATGTTGTGTTATTTACGATATTTCACCGGGCTGTATTATGAAGCAGGGTTTCTTGCCTGGCCTGTCAGATTTAAGGTGTCCCAGTTTAAATTGACTTTATCTTCATCCACTTACGTTTAGTCCAGACTACCTTAAATCCAGCAAGTTATCTGGCTGTGTTAGACATCCAGCTTTGTGATAGAGGCCCCAGATGTGTCGTTTATCAGCTCTCCGATGCGTTTGTGCTTGAAGCTTGGGACAGACAACATGTGCGTAATGTCTTCCTGCAGCTGCACTGTGTGCTTGGTAATATGCAGGGTACTTTAATCTGAGATCTGCTCTTTCAAAGTCAGCTCTACACATTTGGCATCAGGAGAAAAAATGTTCAGTATGTGTACTGAAATCTCAGAACAAGGACATGTGAAAATTGTATTCTGAATCAGGTTAGGGTTCAGTAGGCCTTACTGAGATTTGTTTCTTAAGAAATGTAATTAAATATATTAATGAATGTATTGTTTTCACCAACTTGGGCACATTTCTCAGAAGCCTACACACGGGGGGGGGGGGTCGCTTTGCTTCGTGGGACATTGCCGTCAGCCTTCCTGCTCGGTGCCATTCAGAAGCATAAACACAGCAGCCTATAAACGTGCTGAAATCTCCATTTCAACTTCCTGTCTTTTACATCCAGTAACCATTTCCCCCTCTGTTTGATGGTGGAAAAAGTATGTAACATACCAAAACAAAAGATATGGAAACAGATTCACAAACTTTTTTTTTTTTTTTAAACAAAGAAAATCCTTCTCCAAGCTGACACACTAAAAATGTTTAAAGGAATTATAAAAACAGAATTCAGTAGAACTTAAGGGTGGAACATCAGACACATACATCTGTATGTAATGGTTACTGGGTTTTGCTCCTTGTACCTTCTAAATTAGTGTCTACACCAGTAAGGTATAGATGCACTCAAGCTCCTTACTGTACCACGTTACTTTCAGGGGTATCGTGGTCCCTGTCCGGGCTGCTTTATGACTTCATGCCCTAAAAATTCTCATTCTTTCCACGGGAATTTCGAAATGCCCACGCAGAAGACGGCATCTGCCTACATATCCTGCTATTCATTGTCAGTCGCCGCTGTTCCTCAGTCAGCAGCTGGCCATCTGACGAGTGAGTGGAGGCGGGTACCTCGACCACTGGGGGTCCGTCCACAGACCAGTTTAAATGTTTTAAATAACTTCTTTAATACTGTGGAACGTAGCTGATTCCTAGCTATAAAACCGCAGCTCTTTGGTTCTGCTTGTTCTCAACACCAGTACGTAGCTGTGGTTTACGGGCCGCTTTTATGACTACATTGAAATCCAGGGACTTAAAATATTATTCTGTGGTAACATAATTGGTCCAAACTTGGCCAAGTAGCCCTACAAGAAACAAATTGTACTGCATATGTGCATATAATTTGTGGTTCAAGTCTCCATTGTTTTCCCATTGATTCCCAGCCTTATGTCTTATTTGTTGATTTATTTGCAGGTGATATTTTTGTTATTATTCCATAGCACACTGTTTTTTTTTTAGTTTCACAGCTCAGCCATTGATAGAGTTTAAAGTTTTACTCATGAACAGCAGAGTAGTACCTGAAGTGCAGGTTTTCTGTTCTACCTGATATTAATACACTCACCTAAAGGATTATTAGGAACACCTGTTCAATTTCTCATTAATGCAATTATCTAATCAACCAGTCACATGGCAGTTGCTTCAATGCATTTAGGGGTGTGGTCCTGG